ATTATTATTAATTATTAGACAAAACCATTAATTGTTAATTTTAAATTATTATGTTAAATAGTCTTTTTAATTGTTTAATGAAGAAAATCAACGGCCTTGATTCCGTCAAGTACGGAAAATTCTACAACCACACAATTAAAAGGGCTGCATCTGCCAATATGCTTTCATTACTAACTAGACCCATGTCTTATTTTCAAAAAAAAAAAAAAATTAGGCCCATGTCTGATTAGTTAATTCAGAAGTGTCCAAACTGGCATCATGTCATGACTCATGAGAGTAGAAAAGGGCCTATCCAATACCCACCCACTTGCCCTGTCTAGTTCCAGCCTTGTTTGATAGGTCCACACTTGCCAAAGATATAGTAGAGGCTGAGTCCCTCACTCCTCGTTGTCCTTCCAAGAGGCTTCCTCGTTGCCCCCCATCAAGGACTAGCAAATATGAAAAAGAGTTTCGTATTTCCTAGATTAATTACTAATTTAAAGTGAGAGATAGGTATTAAAATTATTAAAATATTTTCATAGAAAAAACAATATTATTAATAAAATAATATAAAAATAAAAATATTATAATTATAATATTATATAATTTATTATTTTAATTTAAAATTTTATTTATAATATTATATATTTATTTATCTAATGTTACATTATATTTATCTAATATCATATTATATTTATTTAATATTATATTATAATTATAAATTTATAATATTACTTTGATATTAAAAATTTTATTTTTGACATTTTAATAAATTTACAACTCGAAGTGTTGCTTTTTGGGTATGAATTTAGTAGGGCAATTGTTGTTGTTCTCATACTTCCAGGAGTATGTAAATGTTTATCATAAAAGGAGGACAAACAGTACAAGACTTAAGCATCTGAAATGCTTGGGAACGTAAAAAACTTTTACTTAGCAGCAGACACAAGTAAATTTTTGAAGTAAAGATACACCACCAAACCAGCTTTGTTCTTGTTGATTTACCCCAATTTTCGCTGATTCATTTAAGTTTTGTGCATTTTTCAAATGGCATTTAGGCATCCGTTTGACTCTCAAAGTTGTTCTAAGCATCCTGCATTTTATCTGCCTCCATAAGCCAACCAAATCTTACGGAAAACTAACTCAAAATATTGGAATCAACAAAATAAGCAGGCAGCTTCTAATTATCCTCAAAGTAATCTGAATGGAAAATGATGTGCACACCTCCCATAAAAAAAAAAAAGATTCGGGTGCATATCATTTTCTTTTATGTGGGGGTGCACATCCAGATGTTGGATTCGGGTGTGCACCAATCATGATCCCGAATACATCAGGTAGCATCATTCTAGTCTTGGTAGCGTACTTAGTGGATTAAATGTTATTACCTGTGATTTTGATGAAGTGAAATTTCTCTTGGCTTGCCTATTTCACAGTGAATATCCTGAATAGAGTATCTATGGACTACTTCTTCT